GTGGGGCTCTGAATCCCGGAAGGAAGTGAGTGTGTGGGCGGGGCCGAGGTACCAGCAGGTGCAAAGGCCCTGAGGCCGGACGGTGCTGGCTTTGTAGGGTCCAGCCCTCCGCCCGGAGTGGCGGGTGTTCACTTGTGCCTTCTCTTCTTCCTCCCTCCAGGGCTCCCTTCCCTAGCTCCCACGCATGGATGTGATGGCAGCTCCTGGTCTGCCCTGGTGTCTGTCCCTCCTTGTCCTCTTCCTGCCCCTGGCCATCCCTCAGGCATCCACAGCAGTGAACGGTGAGGACCCTGCATCTGGATAGCCGTGCTTTTCTTGGGAAGGTGGCCAACAGCCATCTAGAAGCCCTTTCAGGACCCCCGCTTCTCGGCCGGGGCAGGAGGCCGGGAGGGAGGAAGGCGAGGGCGATGGGACCAGAGATCAGGCGTCCACCTTCTCCCTCGGTCCTTCTGTCCTGCTGTATCCATACGTCCCTCCACGCCAAAGGAAGACACTGGCTTTTCGTCCCTGCTCTGCCTCGGCCTGCCTCTGGGACCTTGCAGGCTCTGGGGCTCAGTTTTGTCCTCTCTGAAATGGATCCACCCAGACCTTTTCTGCCCAGCAGGGTCGCCTACCTGCCCATCTGGTGGGCACAGGGTGCAGGGCGCAGGGTGGTAGGCCGGCCCCGGAGGGCACCCTGCAGCCGGCCACTCACGCCTCTTTTTGTCGGCAGACCCCTCCAAGCTCGCGTGCTTCTACAACTCAAAAGCCAACATCTCCTGTGTCTGGAGCTGGGATGGGGACCTACAGGCCACATCCTGTAGGATCCACGCTAAGCCGGATCAACGGTGAATGTCCCGCGAAACCACAGCATCTCGAGACGGGGGCGGGGGGCGGGGCAGGGTGGGTCTTCTAATCATTGCCATTTAGACTCTTGGAATGCCCTCCTTGTAGACGCCAAGATGTTATGTTTTGGGCATTTGGACTGATGGGACCCCCAGACCCCTGGCAGCACATTAGGCTGGAAAAGCTAGGAGGCAGATGTTTAGATGCCTGAGACCAGGGCGGGCATGAGGAACAGGGGTCCAGGCTGCAGTGCAGGGGCCAGGGATGGGCTGGACAACGTAGTCTGGGGACACAGAGCTGTAAGACCTGTTATGCCAAGGTTACCCTGGACTTGAGAAGCCAAGGGGGAGAAGGAAGGGGGCTCCCCAGGAGGAGTCAGCGAGGGGTTTCTGTGACCCAAACGTTCTGGGTGGCCGTGGCAAAGGTGACTCTGAGTGGGTGGTGGTTCTACGGGGTTCCAAAGGCTCCATCAAGCCCCACAGGAAGATTCTGGAGGGCTTTCGGTGTGGAGGCCACCCGCCCTAGAAGGTCACTGTGGCTACTGCGGGGCCGGACTGGGGAGGGCTGGGGAAGGTGTCTACGACGGGAGGCGGAACAGAATTCTGCCTCTGCCGAGGTTGGCACAGAGCCCCGCGCCGACCGGCCCTGCTGGATGGGGGACCGTCCCCAGGGCCGGCTCTGGGGGGGCCCTCCTTCTGTCCTAAGGAGGTTCTTTTCCCTTGGAAGGTCTTGGAACAAATCCTGTGAGCTGCTTCCGATGGGATCGGCCTCCTGGGCCTGTTACCTGATCCTTGGATCCCCAGATGTGAGTAGTGGGAGCTGAGAAGAGAGCCCGTGGGGAGGGCACTTTCCAAGCACCAGCAGGTTATATCCATTCTTAAGGGGCAGGAGAACGTGGAGATGGGCTCGCACAGCGCACAGGCTCTGGGTGCAGAGGCGTGGGTTTGAATCCGGACGCCCCTGCTGACCAGATGCATGACTTTGGGTTTCTCACCTGCAGCAAGAATCCACCGGAGGAGTGGCCAAGGCACCCGAGCATTTGCCTGCCCGGAGGGGATACTCACTACCTGGCCACTTCCTTCCCCAAAAGTCAGGGTGTGAGGGTGGGGAGAAATGGAGGAAGGGAGGCTTTCATACTCAAAGCTATTGTTCCAGATCTACGTTTCCGGGGGCGGTTGGTTAGGCTGCTTGCACACCTCTTGTGATGGGGAACTCCCTCCCCCACCCCGAGGCAGCCCACCCCGCTTTAGATCACGGATCAAATTCATGCCTGTTTTCTGTAAATTGAGATTCACTGGCACAGAGCCACGCCTGTTCTCCTGCGGGTTGTCTCTGGCTGCTTTCGCAGGACAGCGACAGAGCTGGGTAGTCGTGACCGAGACCGCTTGACCTGCAAAGCTAGAAAGAGTTACTATCTGCACCTTTGCGGAGAAAGTTGGCCGACCCCCTGCTTTAGCTGGGGGGGGGGGG